TGACATTGGTGGTGTTGCTGTAATTTAGAATTTTTAAAAAGAAATTATAGGGTTTTTTTTCTTGTTTTGGTTTTTCAAGACAGGGTTTCTCTGTGTAGTCTTGGCTGTCCTGGAACTCACTCTGTAAACCAGGCTGGCCTTTAACTCACATAAGTCCACCTGCCTCTGCCTCCCAAGTTCCAAGTTCTGGGATTAAAGGTGTGTCCAACTACCACCTGGCAAAAATATAGTCAAATATAGTTTTTATAACCTAATTTCACATGGCGGCTTCTTCTTCTTCTTCTTCTTCTTCTTCTTCTTCTTCTTCTTCTTCTTCTTCTTCTTCTTCTTCTTCTTCTTCTTCTCCTCCTCCTCCTCCTCCTCCTCCTCCTCCTCCTCCTCCTCCTCCTTCTTCTTTTTTGAGACAGGGTTTCAGAGACTGATATTAGCTGTCTTCCTCACTTTCTACCTTACATATTAAGGCATACTCCCACTGAAAAAATTCCCTGGTTTGATTTGGCTTTGGCTAGTCTAGCTAGACAACTTGCCCCAGGTATTCCCTGTGTCTTCCTCTTGAGTCCTGAGATTATAGACAATCTACCATGTCAAGCTGGTGTTTGACATACTGGAATCCAAATTCCTGTCTTCATTCTTATATAACAATAATTTTACCCACTGAGACATCTTCCTAGGCCCAATTTCCTTTTCTTTATTTAGTATATTTATGTGTGCTGTGTGCATGTGTTTGCACATGCGTATATACAGTAGCCAGAAGTGAATGTTTGGTGTCTTCCTCATTGCTTTCCATCCTATTAGTCTTACATTTTATTTATTCACTGTGGTTGTGCTCTGTGTATGTGTTGGGGTGTACATGTTTCATGGTGCAGGTGTTGAGGTCAGTTTGTGGGAGTCAGTATTCTCCTTCCACTGTGTGGGTTCCAAGGATCAAAGTCAGTTCATCGGACTTGGTGATGGGTTCCTTTTCCTTCTGGGCCATCTCACTGGCCCTACACCTTAATTTCTAGAGACAATGTCTCTCATTGAACCAGGAGCTCAATGTTTGCCAATGAGCACTGACACTCACCCCAAGATCCTCCAGGCTCTGCTCCCCAGTGTTGAAATTCCAGATGCAGGCCTTCAGGCCTGGCTTTTAATGTGAATAGTGAAGCTTGCACCGCAAAACACTTTACCCACTGAGCCATTTTTTCTAGTACCAGCATACAGTTTTTAGTGTTTTTAAAAATAACTGAAACTGGTCAATAAGAAAGAAGACAAAAAAAAAACTGAGAGTTCAAGTGTGAGAAGAAATGTTGGCTCCAAAAGTCACCTGCATGTGTAAATTTTTTCTGAAATCTTTTAACCCTCTTCTTTAATACTTAAATATTAACAGCCCTGACTCTCACAGCAGTAACCAGCCTCCGAGATGACACCTAAAAGATCTATGCTTTACAGTACTTATTGTTTCTGTTTAGTCTTCACGAGTCACAGCGGGCCTCCGGTAGCTACTTGAATACAGTGCAAGTGATGTGTGGCATCTTAGGTGGTGCTATACATGGTCTTATAGCATTTGCCTTGGTCTCTTGATCACTCACTTTTGGAGCCTGAGCACAACATATGGAGTACAATTATGCTGGAGAAGAAAGACCCTGAGATGTCATATAGAGTGATTCCTGATCAGCCTTCTGATTATTAGAGCTAGCCCAGCTTAGTGTACAGATGTACTGTGGATCAAAGTTAAGCCGTTGTTCTCAATTCCTTCGTAAAATGCAGATTCATGGGTAAAACTGGCAACAGATAACTAAAATGCTCCTTCTTTGCCTCCCTCTTCCACCTGATGTGAAGTATGTCCCCTCAGGTAGGTGCAGAGTGAACAAGGATATGTCTGGCCAACATGGGGAATTTTCTAGCTAACATTGCTAGAATTATTGACTTATTCATGCTGTAAAAATATATGACTTCAAAGTTGTCTTCTGGGAAGTAACCATGTCTCTTCTGTTGTCAAGACATAGGAGAACCAGAACTACCTCTCAATCTTAGGTATAAAGGTCAGCCATGAAACCACAACTCAACATTGTAATGCAGATGAATGTGTGCATAAAACCAAACACAAAGGGAAGCTTTCCACAGAAAGAAATAGCAGGAGTGTAAATAGTGGGAAGGGTCCAGGCAGAAGGAGTAATTGAACTTATGCCTGTGTCTAGCACGTATCTTTGTAGGACTCATTCACCATCTACTTCTATAATATGGAACCCATTCCTGCCACTGCAACAATCAGAACATGTGTGCACATCAAATTATAGACAATTACATGGCCAGAAACTTGTCAGGTTATCTCCCTTTAGAGACTGAATTAATACATAATGAGCTTATTATACACTGCGACAGAAGAACCAGAAGCACTCAAGGAAGGATGGCAGTTAGCAGTTATGTATATGCTTATTAGTAAGTACATAGCTGGTTTGCAAAAAAAAATCATTATGAGAATTCACAGTGGGAGGAACTAAAGAGAGACAGGGAGAAAAAAGTAAAAGAAAAAGAGACATGGGCCTGTAATCTCAACTACTTGGGATGCAGAGGCAGGAGGACTCAGTTTAAGGCCTATCTGGGTTAGCCAGACCCTGTCTCAAAATTTAAAGCACTTTCTAAAGTACAGGGATGTGTTGAAGATAAGGCTCGGTAGTAAAGCACTTTGCCTGGTATGTGCAAGACCTTAGGTTCAATCCCTAGTGCCCTTAAAGAAAAAAAAAGACAGTAAGAGAGAGGAGAAGAGATCACTAACCCTACCTTTGTTTATTAGCTTTTTTAGTCCTGGGTTTTTCTTGGGCAGCTGGAGGGCTATGTGGAAAAAGAGGAGACCGTGTCCCAAAGAGCCCAGGCTGATCGTGAACTTCCTCATGCTTCTATCTCGAATGCTGGGAATATATCCCCATACCCAGCTACAGCTGTACAGTTTGTTTTAGTTTAATTCGATTTGGGGTTTAGACTGACAGAGTTAATAGAGAAGAGCCTTAACCTTCACTTTTATTTGAGGGTCTCTGAGAAAATGATAGGGGTGATTTAGGTTTTGTTTCAGATTTGAGTTTCTCATGAGCACATATTTCAAAGCAATGGGTTTTAGAAATTATTTCTCTAAAATTAGTTTTACTGAGTAGTATCTTCATGTAGAACATTATTCCTGAGGGACAGAGCTCCCATAGGCACCAGAAGGCTGAGGCGGATGCATATCTATTTCTTTATCTTTGACGAATTAGAGAGGAACAATATAAAAACAGGAAAAGGATCTAGACAGCAAAGGATCTGGGTTTTTCTAGTACCTACTCAATTACTGTCATTGTGGTCACAGATTCATCTCTGGATCTCGGCTTCTTTTTCTGCACTATACAGTGATCAAAGTTTTGCTATTCTAGGAATATAAACCAGCAGCAAGGCTCTAATCCAAAACTATCCTCACATAGAGCTTTAATCTGACCCTGAAGAAAAAAGGTGTAATGAGCAGCCTTTACTGACCAAGATCTGAAATTTAAATTTCTAGTCATTTATAATTCTTAAGCACTGTACGTTTCTTCTTGATTGTGCATAAAGGACTGGACATGCAATGGGGAACAATCTTAATGACCAAATTAAGCCAGAGGCTCATTCACAATCCACATTAAATAAGATAGGTGTGGTAAAATAAAAAGATAAACACATTTGAGACTGAACTGATCTGCATTTGATGTCTATCATGATGTTGAAATATACCTCAGAGAAATTAACTTATCTATTATGAAAACAATACATTTGTACTGTACTAAAAGTCTACCCAAATACAACAAGCATTAATAATCGTTTATATTCTTATATTCAGATGATCTTTGCACCATTCGCTTTGACAGATGTCATTGTTTTTAGTCACTAATAGGCTATAAACGGCTTGAGTTTAAAAAAAAATCCCTTTGTGATAACTTCACATGACTCCGCCATCTCCACAATTGGATCACTCTCTTTGGGAAGATATAAGGGTAAAGTTATCTGTGCTGAAAAGTTATATGTGCTGCTGTCGTTAAATGCATGCAGTCACGTGACAAACATTTTCTTCAGCACCTAGGCTGAGAGATTCAAAGGTACATTTCCCTTTATGATATCCTTTTGCTCTGAAATCCACTGTTATACTCGGTTACTTTACTAGATACTTTTCCAGTTTTGGAGAGATAAATGGAAGCTTTTAGAAAACTCTTAAGGGGCTGGAAAGATGACTCAGTGGTTAAGAGTACTTGCTCCTCTTGCAGGGGTTCGGTCCTCAGCACCCACTTGGTGACTTACAACTATCAGTAACTAGGTTTGAGGCCATAACCTCCATCGACACCAGACATGCACAACTTGACCAGAAGCTTACGGAGCCTAGTAGAAGGGTGCTGAGGGGAGGAGTGAAGGACACAAAATTTAGGTCTTTTACTATGTCAGCAAGAATTCTTTTTGGGGCTGGAAAGGTGGCTCAGTGGTTAAGAGCACTGAGTGCTCTTTCAGAGGACCCAGGTTCAGTTCCCCGTACCTACATGACAGCTAACAACTGTGTTTAACTCCAGACACACATACTGACACAATACCAAGGCAAATGAAACAAGAGTAAATATTTTTTAAAAAGGAATTCTTTTTCTCTCGTGATTTATGTCATAAAATAAGTCTACTATTCCACATGTCATTCCCTCCAAAGCTTCGACTTTAGAAACTTTGGAAATTTGAGCACCACGATAGGGTAAAGGAACACAGGCTAGTCCAACATCAGCCGGGAGCTCAGCCTAGTTTCCGCACCGGAGTTGCTGGGGGCGGGGCGGAGCAGGACCGACCTGGGGGCTGGGACCTCTGTGAGTGCTACGGAGCCGGCCAGCCCTGTGGCTGACATAAGAGCCAGTCTTGGATTGGTGAATGATTATTTCGGACTGAGCTCATAGGCGCAGAGCAGCTTGCGGGGCTTTGATTGGCTCAGTGGCTGCTGACCGCTTATTGGCTGCGATAGGTCGTCAAGGCGACCAAGGGGTGGAAAAAAGGAGAAGGGTGTTGGGCCTGGCGGGAGTGCTGAGGGTTGTGGGCAGCTGGGCTGCTCTCCTGGGCGGTGTCCGGGGAGCTGCTGGCCAAGTCGCCCTGGGTTTCCGCCACCCTCTGGGAGGTGTCCGAGCGCGTGGGGTCCACTAGTGAGACCCTTAGGCCGGCGCCATGGGCTGCTGCTTCTCTAAGAGACGGAAGAGTGAGAAGGAGGCGAAGGCTCAGGGAGAGGAGGAGCAGCCCAAGCTGTACAGCTGGGACCAGCGGGAGAAGGTGATGTTTGGGGGCTCCCCTACTCTGCATCCTCCCAAGAAGCAGACGAGAACCGGGCAGCAAGGCGGGCGGGCCACTACTGCTTTCCTCGCGTGCGCTCAGGGAGCTGAAGTCGGGACGCAGGACTTTGAGGGTGGGCGCAAAGGAGTTGGTGGTCTGCCTAGCTAGACCTCCAGGGCCTCTTCCTTGGCTCTGCACCCTGACTCCCCATCCCAGGATGAACTCCGGGGAGGGAAAGAGCTGGAAGGATGCTGGATCTCCAATCAGCTCATTTCACCAGCAGTGGCCAAAGGGGTTTGGTCGAATTACACACACCAGCCTGCTTCTCATCTTTTCCGCGGCTTGTGTTCCTATGCTGTTTCTCTTTTGTCTGCCCTTCTCGACAAATCGCTTTTGGTATCTCTTGGTGCCACTCAGTTCCTAATGGACTGTTTTATGTCCACCTTTGCTCTCCCTCCGCTTCCGTTTACCGGAAAGGAATAATGAAAATTGAAGCAGTCTTGGAATGTATTGTGCAAGGTGGAAGTACCTAACATAAACCAGGAAGTCTTTTTTTATAATTGTTTTATATGAATGAAAACGCCCTTATTTTTATCTTATATATAGCTAGAACCCCAAAAGGTTGGAAAAAGTCCCCTAATCTTGCACAAAACACACTTACTTACGCATAAATTTCACAACGGTTCCTCTTTCTACATAGTTCTTCATTTCTGCTCAGTATAGTTGCTTAGTAAAACACTTTGATAGATATCTATTATTTTGGTTTCCCAAACAAAATGAGAAATCCTTTTTTAAGTGGGCGTTGGTTAACTATTGCTTAATGTAATGCCTTTGACCAAAACAATACTTTATAGTAAGTCTGTTATTAATGTTTTGATACAATGAATCATCCTGCACCGTTTCAGATCCCCAACAGTATTTAGGTGTTCATATAAACGAGATTCTCAAAGTGTTTGGTGGGATTCTCAGGCCCAGCTTTTTGCCTTTAACCCTTCTTGGGCCTTGTGGCCTTTTATTCCTCTTCTCTTTTAACAGCACTTTGTCTTGTAGGAAAGTGGACTATTTTCTGTTTGATAAGATTGTACCTATCAAAGTTATTTGTGGGTGGATTTTAAAATATTCATTTTAGACAGCCTTGTGATTTCTAGCGGTGCTTTTTAAATTTTTCTCCCCAGTGCTGGGGATTGGATTGTTCTAGGCAAGCACTCTACCACTGACTGGTATCCCTAGCTAAACAATGCTCTTTAAACTTGAACTTCCTGCTCCAGGGAGTTGTTTTTGTTTGTTTGTTTTTGTTTTGTTTTGTTTTTAGCTTTTTGTTTTAAGGTCACAGGCTAAAACTACAAGTGTGAATACATTTTTGCAGTAGTCTAGTTTGGCTATGGCTCATTTTTTCACAATAATTGTCTCACAGCTAACTTCTACTAACAAAGTGCTGGTAAGTTGGGTTCTTTTGTTCTTGTTGCAGTATTATACTTTTGTGACAGGATCTTTTTATTATATTTTGAGACAAGGTCTCATGTAATTCCGAAGCCTTGAATGACAGTCTGGTCCTCCTGCCTCCTTCTCCTGACTGTTGGAATTTCAAGCATGCATCAACACTTCCGGTTAGAGACAGTGATCTTTTATGTAACTCTGGCTAGCCTGTTACACATCACATAGCCCAGGCTGACCTTGAACTTCAGGCAATACACCTACCTCAGCCTACTGAGTATTGAAATTATGGGCTACCATACCCTAGTAGTTGGGATCTTTCATGTGGATGTATTCTGTGATTTCTATTTTTGTACTCTTTGTCTAAGTAAAAGTACTGAAAAGTAGTATAATATAGGGGATACTAACATCTAAGTGCCCCTCCCCCACCACATGGATGAGGATATGCATTGAACTTTCTGGTGTAAATGGGAACATTGAAAATTTTTATTTTTATTTTTTTAACATATTTTTATCCAATACAAAGTGGCCATCCCTGAAACCATATACATACAAACAGTAAAAACAGACTCGGTAGGTTGTATTTATATGTTTATGCATACTTATACATACATATTATATATAACAATACTAAAAGAACCCTTTTTGAGAATATTGCTAAGTATTGTAGTTGTAGACATGCAAGAAATGTTACTGAGTATGTAAAATAAGCTTATGCTTCTGGGTGTGTATATAATAAAAGTTAAAATCTCCTTTTTGCTGCTGGGACTAGAACCCAGAATGCTAGTCAGGCACTCTCCCGCTGATCTGTGCCCCCAGCACTCCAGTGGTACTCATGCTGAGCCTGGTCTTACTGTCTCTTGAAACGTAGTTTTTCACTAGAAGGAATTGAATGTAAATACGCAGCCTACAGAATGTTGTGGAGTATAAGTCTATGTGGTTTAAAGTTAGATCAATTAGTCAACTTGTAAGACCTTAAAAAAATGAGTTGCCTATAATTTTATTACTGTTGGAAAAGTAGTGTTTAAAATTTTGTTAGGTCATATAAGAGTTGACAGGCACCCCATGGGTTTTAGGTTTTGCGTTGGGTAATTAGGTCAGCCTTAAGGGACCGAAGCAAGGAGAAATTGTCTCAATTAGAAAGAATGTTTGGGGCTAAGTGGTATCATGGCAACTTATATACTGTAGTCAACAGTGGAAGAAACTCATTTTCCATTGCTGCTGACTCTGAAAAAGGAAAAAAAAGCTTATTACAGAGTTACTACACTGTCATGATGAGAAATACTTTTGGATTGCAAGATCTCTGTTTAAATCATTTGGAAAGATATGCTTTTCTCATTATTTGTACACTGCCTTCAATAGCTAAGCAAATTATTCGATGTATATGTATTTAAACACCAAGGAAGATCCAAAATTACCATTCTTGCCATCCAAGAGCTTACTGGCCTTTTGGAGTAAAAGCCGGAAATATTGAAGCAAAAATGAAGTGAGGATGGGTGGCATAGAAAAGTGTTGTCAATTTCCAGTTATCCATGTTAAAACTCCTAAATAATAGAAAGAAGAACTAGTTCTCTTGACCAGGCATGGTGGGGCACACTTATAATTGGAAGAATCGGTGCTTGTGAGTTCAGGGCCAGCCTCCTGGATTTCAGGCTGCACTGTGTGAGTGTGGTCAATTGGGAGACAGAGATCTTGGCTCCTTAAAAAGAAAGAAAAGTTCTCTAAATGATGGCCTAGTATGAACATTGTGATTTCAATATAAAGAACACACTTGTGTTTGTCTCATGACCAGAAATTCAAGTGTCTGTTGTGCAATTTTGGGTAAAGCAGCCAATTTATGCATTGCTGGTTTCTTACTTATAAAGTTGGCTAGTGGTAAAGAGTTCTGCACAGTTTAGCAAGGTGAAGGCATGTCCTGAAGAAGAGACATTAATTTTTTTTTTTTTGGTTTTTCGAGACAGAGTTTCTCTGTAGCTTTGGAGGCTGTCCTGGAACTCTCTCAGTAGACCACGCTAGCCTTGAACTCACAGACATCTGCCTGCCTCTGCCTCAAAGTACTGGGATTAAAGGTGTGTGCCACCACCACCAGGCCAACGTTATTTTTTTAAGAAGAGACCTGAGACAATAATGATCATCTCCAGAGATATGCTTGAAGGACAACTTACAAGAGATCATAATTCCCAGAATTTTCACCAATAGAAGGAGTGACTTTGTGGGTAAACAATGTCAATGTTAGAACCTTCAGAGGTTGGATGGGTGAAACACTAAAAAGAAGTATCTACAGTGAGTAGTAAGCTAGATGCTATTTTCATCACTGTCTAAGTATGTGCAGTAATTTAATTGTCCACTGATACGAATAAATCATCCACAAACTTAATCACCTTAAGCACTGGTAAATACTGACTTTGTTTATGACTCTGCTCTTTGTGTAGGGCTAAGCAGGGTTGAATCTATATGACATCAACTGTGGCAACTTGAGGAGGGACTGAAGTATCACCTTCAGGATGGCTTAATCCCAAAGCTGACTGTCAGGTTGATAATAGGCATTCAGTTGGGAGTTCAACTGGGACTGAAGGCAAGCACTTTCCATGTGTTGTAGTCTGGGCTTCTTCATAAGTTAAGGAGCTTCCAGGGCCAGTGACTACGGTGACACTAGTAGATGTGACATCTGATTTCAATCATTCATTTCATATATTTTTTTAAGATTTCTTAGTTTACAGTTGTGTGTATATGTGAGTATCTGAGTGTGGGTTTGTACACTGAGTGCAATGCCTGGAGAGGGCAGAATCATCCTCTGGAGCTGGAGTTTCATTCACTGATGAACCATCTGACATGAGTGCTGGGAGCTCAGGTCCTCTGCATGTACTCTTTTGTTTTTTTTTTTTGGTTTTTCAAGACAGGGTTTCTCTGTATTGTTTTGGAGGCTGTCCTGGAACTCGCTCTGTAGACCAGGCTGGTCTTGAACTCACAGAGATCCACCTGCCTCTGCCTCCCCAGTGCTGGGATTAAAGGTGTGTGCCACCAACGCCCGGCACACTGCATGTACTCTTAATGGCTGAGCTCTCTCACCAGCCATTACGTATATTTTGAGAGAAAATGTCTAATGTTGCATATTAAAACTAAGTTATCTGTTAAGAGCTGTTATTTAAAATCTCTTTTTTGTAAACTGGATTTCCATTAAATTGAACAAATTCTGTTATTATATCTCAGAATATCATTACTGAAGTTAACTATGCAAATAAAATTTAATGAAAATTTTCTGGCTGCTTAGTAACGTAATAAAATGTTCACTGGAGAGGCAGCTCAGTGGTAGAGCACTTGACTAGCATGCATGATCCCCAGGGTTCAGTCCCTAGTAGCATTAAAAAATGGGGGAGACATGAACATAAGTCCACAGCATACTCAAAAGTCTATTAAGAAACCAGCTCAGTAATTTAGCAATAGATGTTATGTTGGTGTTTGCAATAAGAAATCTTAACTAATAGTAATAATTTATATAGGGATGTGGGGGTGTGTATGTGTGTTAATTTGTTTGACTATGGTGTGGGCCCACACATGCCTTGGTGTGCTTATGAAGATCAGAGGACAACCTTGAGTATTAGTCCTGGCTTTCCGCCTCATTTGAGACTGTGTCTTTTCAGTCCTGGCTTTCCACCTCATTTGAGACAGTCTTTTGTTGTTTGATGCTGCATGGGCCAGGCTGGTTGGCCTGTGACCTTCCAGGGATCCTCCCATTGCTGTCTCTTGTTTTGAGATTACACATGTGTGTTGCCATGTCTGACTTAATGTGAATTCTGGGGATCTGAACTCAGATCTGCATGAGCCTCCCAAGTGCTAAGATTATAGGTGTGTACCACCACACCCAGCTTCATTTTTTAAGAAAAAATTTAATTTATTTTATGCGAGCATTTGTTTTGCTTGCATGTTTCATACATACATTCTTGGTACCCAAGGAGGGCATTGGCTCCCTTGGAACTAGAGTTATAGATAGTGAGTTGCTATGTGGGTACTGGGAATCAAGCCTGGGTCCTCTGCAAGAGCAGCAATCCCCCAATTTTGTTTATAAATTTTTTTCAGTGTGCGTTTATGGACAAGGTGATTTTACTCTTGTTAGATGTATAATTCCAGCTTTTTGTTATGGGTTAAGGTCTTCCATATTTCTAGTTTTATCTATTTTTGTACATGTATATATGTGTGTGTATGTGCAGGTACATGTGTGTGGGTGCACATACACATGTATGTGCCTATGGAAGTGAGAGAACATACTCGGGTGTAGTTCCTTAGGCATCATCCACACACATACCCTCTTTTGAGACAAGCAGGTGCCCTGGAATTCTCCAGGTATGCTACACAGTGGTCTAGTGAGCTACAAGATCTGCCTGTCAATGCCTGCAGTGCTGGGGTGATAAGTTTATGCCACCACACCCAACTTTTTACATAACTGCTGGGGATTGAATTTAGGTCACTGTGCTAGAATTATCTTTTTTCTCCCTGAGACTCTTTTGTGATCTAGTACATGGCTTGTTTTGTTTTGTTTTTTTTTCTGTTTGAGGTAGAGACTTGCTATTTAATATAGGCTGTACCTGAGCTGGTGATTCTCCTACAACAGCCTATTTATTGTATGTGCATATGTGTGTTTGCTTTACCAAGTAAGCCATCCCCAATCCTGTATTTGTGGTGAAATCTTGCTTGTAAAAATAAAGCCTGTCTGAAGATCGGAGAATGGAGCTTGTCACTAGCTAACCATAGAGGTCTGCAGGTCTGTACAGATAGACAGGAAGTGAGGTAGCTGTGCAGAAACAGGATATAAGCAGGGAGAAATAGGTACCTCTCTCTTGTGGGCTGAGCTGCTGAGGAGGTAAGGTGTGATCATGGCTTGTTCCTTCTCTCTGATCTCTCAGCATTTCCCTTTGGGTTTTTTATTACACGGACCAATTAAGAACTCCATTTACATGCATGTCTAGATTTTAATTGGGGGGGGCTTTTTTAACCTATAAATAATTGAGAGTAGTAGTGATAGAAAGTATTCCTTAAGTGGATGGGGGGGTGGAGTGGGGAGAAGATGGGAGGAGCGGGAGGATGGGAGGGAGAGGGAACTGGGATTGGTATGTAAAACAAGATTGTTTTCAAAATGAAAAAAAAAATTCCTTAGATTTCATTTTATATTTTAGTTTACCTCATTTGGAAGTGCTAGGGATACAACCAAGGTCCTTGTAGATGTTAGGTAAGCACTACACAACTGAGCAGTACCTCAGCCTCTTCTCCTTAGGTAGATTCCTCTTTTGTTCTTTGCTTAGGGGCTCATTGTATAGCCAAAGCTGGCCTCACAGTGACAACCTTCCTGCCTCAGCACACCTGCTGATTCTCATTCCTCCTCATTTCTCAAGTTGATCCATCCTTCTAACTACTCCAGTCCTTTCTGGCTAAGCCCAGTCCACATTTCTTTTTTGTCTTTTTTTATTTTTAAATTTAAATTAGAAACAAGGCTGCTTCACATGTCAATCCCAGCTCCCTCTCTCTCCCCTCCTCCCAAGCCCTCCCATCAACCCCTCTCCTTCCTCCCCCAATCCCCACTCCTTTCCCCAGGGAGGGTGAGGCCCTCCATGGGGGGTGTCCATAGTCTGTCATTTCATCCAGGGCAGGACCTAGTCCCTCCCCCAAGAGTCTAGGGTGAGAGTGCATCTCTCATTGTGGGATGGGCACTCAAAGTCGCTTTGTATGTCAGGGATAGATACTGATCTACTACCGAAGGCCCCATAGATTACCTAGGCCTCCTCACTGACACCCACATTCAAGGGGTCTGGATCAGTCCCATGCTGGATTCCCTTGTTCAGGTCAGCTGTTTCCTGTGTGTTAAACAAGCCCAGTCTCGACCCCTATGCTCATCACTCCTCCCTCTCTGTCACTGGATTCCTTGAGTTCAGCTCAGTGTTTAACTGTGGGTGTTTGCCTCTGCTTCCATCAGTCATTGTTTCCCAGACTCTCTGGCAGTGGGATTGTAGGCTGGCACTCTCCATATCCTTAATATTTCTGAAACGTATGTTTAGCGTATATTTAATGTTCTGTGGCTTCTGTTGTTCATAGCTTCCATGGCCCCTGCCTAATTTTCTAATTTAATCTACTACCACTCTAGTTTCTCCGGTAATATCAGGCTCCCTTCCATTTTCTTCCTGATAACTGAAGAATTTTACCTCGTTCATTGTTACCTTTGTCTGGTATAGTCTTTCCTAATCTTTCCAGTAAACTCCAATTTATTCATACTCAATTTGTACAGTAAGTCTTGTGTTGCCCCCATATGTCCTTCCTTTGTATTTCTAGATAATTCTCAGCACCTCTCACTACGTGGTCAGGTTGTTTAAATGGTCTACTTAGGTATATATTACTTCCCTTTTAGTGCCTAAAATAGTATCTGGTTCATTTTGGGTATTCAAATGTTGGTTTAGTGAATGAAGATACAGAAATGGAAAGTGGCCTTTTAAAGATTATGTTGCTCATAGATGACAAAATTGAGGCTAGAAATTAAGTACCTCTTATTGCCTCATGCTCATCCTAGGACATTATATAAAATTGTATGAATGTGATATTGTGTATGATGGAATTAGTCACTTTAAGCTAATTTAAACAATTAACATGCTTACATGTTACTTTGTAAATAAACAATATATGTACTGTATCTATAGGAACATGTTTCTTGTATATTGTTTTAAACGAAATATTTTATTCATAAGCAGTTAGAATAGTTTTAATAGATTAAAAGCTAATACATTTTCAACTATTGTTTTAAACTGTCAGACAGGCCTTTTATTTTTTCCTCAATATATGCTTTTATTTAAATTAGAAACATGAATACTTCACATGTCAGTCTCAGCTCCCTCTCCCACCCCTCCTCCCTAGTCCCTCCACCAGCCCTCCCAGTCCCCCACCCAATCCCCACATCATTCCCCAGGGAGGGTGAGGCCCTCCTTGGGAGGATCTCCAAAGTCTCAGACAGGCCTTTTATTAACACACTGCTTTCCTCTCTCCTTCCCCCTCTTCTTGTGTGTGTGTGTGTGTGTGTGTGTGTGTGTGTGTGTGTGTGTGTGTGTGTGTATCTGTGTCTGTGTGTATGTCTGTGTGTTGGGGGTATGTGCTGCAGATCAGACTCAGTCTCAGGCATGCTAAGCACATTCTATCTCTGAGTTACATTTCTAGTCTCTGCCTATATTTTGGCAATACAGTTAAAATAAAAAAAAATAATGTGACATATTTTAGGCATACTATTTAAGATTGTATGAGGCATAGTTTATACTACCTAGTAGAATGGCAAAAGTTGAAAAGTTACACTGGACAAATAGCTCAGTCAATGTCTGATTAAAATTTATAGATTTAAGTACCAAAATATGAAGGCTTGTGAGTCCTTATATTCTTCCATTGTCTGTGGTATATGAAGATCTCAGTTAGGGTTTAGAAATCTACACCCAAATATCATTTTGTAGTAGGATAAAGAAATATATTCAGCTTAAGATGATTTTTAAGAAATGGAAGTTGAAAAATTTGAAGCACCAGGAAAAGCAAATCACCAGAAAGCTGAAATAGTATGTATCTCTGTGTTTTAATGTTTAATTTTCAGTTACAGGGATGGAACCAAGGCCGTGTACATTCTAAACACACATTTTACTACCGAGCTACTTCCCAACCTGAAACAGTATGTTCTGATTAGGATAAGTGCAGAGGATATAAGCTTTATTTTCCTAGCAGTGTTTTTGCAACAGACCCTTGCTCTGTAGCCCTGACTGGACTTGAACTCCTAGTAATCTTCCTGCCTCAGCTTCCCAAGTGCTGGGATTGCAGGTGTGTACCCCCATGCCTGACTTACATAGCTATTCTGTTAGAATATTTGTTTTAAAAATATATTCTTTATTCTTGTACTCCATACTAATTTTGTGGCTGCACAGATCCCAAATAAGCTAAAAGATTGTTGATAGGAGCAATGATGATATGTCACCTGGGTTACCTCACAGGAAGACCCAAATCATAGTATCACACAGGTTTCCTTTTAGCTTTGCATGCCCAGGCATGAAATTTGAAAGCAGAAAAAGAATGGATCCTTTTCTTGGGAGGTAGATATGTATTAACCAGGGTTATAAACTTTATATTATTTAAAATTGACAAATTCACTCCTCTTGTAACTGCGGAGTTGTTATCACACTTAGAAAATGAAAAAAAAAAGTCCTTGAGGTTCTAGGCTTTGTGAATGTGTGTGACTATCCCCATTTGTCTTAAAAAACATATTTACACTTGAAATGGTTGGAACAAGATCCAAGCACTTGGTGAATGTGCCTTGAATTTTGATTTCCTTCCCCCTTTTCCTTCCTCATTCTTTGTATTTACTGGAAAAAAGATGTGTCCTATCCATTTTCTAGTTTACTGCAAAGTCAATGAGATTGGGAAGCTAAGTTTTAGCATTAACAATTGTGTCTCACATCCCAAAAGCACTTACTTGGTTTTGGTGAATAATGTTGACACTACTCAAGGTCTTGTGCTTTGTCCTTGCAGGTTGATCCAAAAGATTACATGTTCAGCGGACTGAAGGATGAAACAGTAGGCCGCTTACCTGGAAAAGTAGCAGGACAACAATTTGTCATTCAAGACTGTGAGAACTGTAACATCTATATTTTTGATTACTCAGCTACCATTACTATTGATGACTGCACCAACTGCGTACTTTTTTTGGGACCAGTGAAGGGAAGTGTGTTTTTCCGAAATTGTAGAGATTGCAAGTGTACATTAGCTTGCCAGCAGTTTCGTGTGAGGGACTGTAGAAAGTTGGAAGTCTTTCTGTGCTGTGCCACTCAGCCCATTATTGAATCTTCCACAAATATTAAGTTTGGGTGTTTTCAGTGGTACTACCCTGAATTAGCGGCCCAATTCAAAGATGCAGGGCTCAGTATCTTCAATAATATATGGAGTCACATTCATGATTTTACACCTGTGTCAGGAGAGCTCAACTGGAGCATTCTTCCAGAAAATGCTGTGGTTCAAGACTATGTTCCTATTCCAACTACTGAAGAATTCAAAGCTGTACGAATTTCCACAGAAGCCAATAGAAGCATTGTTCCCGTATCCCGGGGTCAGAGACAGAAGAACAGCGAAGAGTCATGCCTAGTGGTATTATTTGCTGATGATTATACAACAGCAAATGCCAGGAAACTAATTGATGAGGTAAGGAGAAAGAGAAAAAAATAGACATAGATAGGACCGTGCTACTTTGTAGAATTTTTAGGTTTTGTTGTTACTTTTTTTTTTCCTAGACAAGGTTTCTCTGTGTAGCTTTGGAGCCTCTCCTGGCACTCTCTCTGTTGACCAGGCTGGCCTCGAACTCAAGAAGATCTGCCTGCTTCTGCCTCCCAAGCCCTAGAATTAAAGGCATGCACCACCACTGCCTGACCCGGTTTTGTTGTTATTGTTTACAAATTAATTATTAGAAATACTGGCAACCCTCAAGCTAGAGTCCCCCAACTCCTTGGCTCTACAAAGTTTGCCTTAGAAACAGATTGCTTGGGCCTCAAAATCCTTTTTCAAGACAACTTTTTAATATAATTCAATTTAGTAAGCATTTGTTAGCACCAATTATATGCAAGTTATGCTGTTACCATATTTCATTCATTATATGATGCATGTTTGTTTTCCACGTCTCTGCTTAAATACCTTATAATTAGTTGCTACTTTGAAATAATAGAACGTAGATGATGCTGGAAATTAAGTCATATAGTTCTTTGCCTCAAAGAATTTCTGTTCTTCATCATAAACTATTTCCACATACATTCACAATAGTACTGCATATTGAAGCATGGCCTTTTCTAATGATGTACTGAGGACATTTCTTAGGAGTTTTAATTGGTAGAGATTGGAAATGACATTTAAGAATACAACTTTTAGATCCTGTTTTGACAGTGTCATCCATATTGGGCTCCTTATTTTCTCTTGCCCCATAGCCATTGATAGGAGACTGGAATATACAAATAATATGAATAAAATGGGAATTGGAATGGCAAAATCTCTAAGACTTCTGAGTGGTGGCTCTCAATGAGTTCTTTAGAGAAGAGTTAATGCATAGCAGCTTCCCCTTGGAAAACATTTGAGGAGGGAAAGGTTACGGCTCCAGAAGCAGAAGTTCCTTGGTTGGTAGGTATACCAGTAGGAAGATGTATTGATCAGAATTCTACAAAGTTATTTGAGATAAAGCTTTTAAAACTATAGAAGCTACAGTATAATTTTAAGACTGCTCTTTTCTCCTTTTTTGTTTTCCGATTCAGGGTCTCTCTGTATAGCCCTACCTGGCCTGAAACTTACTATGTAGACCAGACCTGTGTCTTTGAACTTCTAGCAATCCTCCTGCCTCTGCATCACAATGGCTTAAACCATTGTGTCTGGTTTTAGATGTTGATGTTATGCCAGTATGATAAGAAGCATGCTGTAAGTTTTGTAAAATGTAGATAAATATGCTTATAGTCTGTGCACTATCTAGTCACATGTAAACTCAACATTTCAGAAGTAAATAATCTTCATTATGTTATATGGCAAATTTCTTTTGTATGGTGAATTTTTACTTCATAGAATTTTCAAAAGATTAATCATCCAAATTAAACTCCATTTTGATAGATAATCAGGAGTTGGCACAGATATTTTAACATGTTTAAAGAGAAAAAAACTACTAACACAGCCCTTATTTGGGAGTCATCAATGTTCTGAACCTTTTGACTTTCGGTATCTGATGTGTGAAATGGCTTTTGTAAAAATATGACTTAAAGCCGGGCTTTGGTGGTACACACCTTTAATCCCAGCACTGGGGAGGCAGAGGCAGGCAGATCTCTGTGAGTTCAAGACCAGCCTGGTCTACAGAGCGAGTTACAGGACAACCTCCAAAGCAATACAGAGAAACCCTGTCTTGGAAAAAAAAACACAAAACAAAACAAAATATGACTTAAACGAGTGGTGTTCTAGCCGGGCGGTGGTGGCGCACGCCTTTAATCCCAGCACTCGGGAGGCAGAGGCAGGCGGATCGCAGTGAGTTCGAGGCTGGGCTGGGCCGACAGCCTCCAAAACAATACAGAGAAACCCTGTCTCGTAAAAACCAAAAAAAAAAAAAAAAAAGTCCTTCTGGAATGCCAAATAAAAATTCTATACTCATAATAATAGTAGTTTACTCTTATATAGTGTTAGACATATAGTTTTACTATATGTCAGGCACTGTTTAAAAAGGATTTACATGAATTAACCCAGTGTTCAGAACAGCCCTATGAACCACAGACAGGGTAAATAACTTGGCAAAGGTTATTCAGCTAGCTGATACAGAGCAGAGCTGTGATTCATCCATGCAGGCTGATAGGCTTCCTGTGTATTAACCCTTAAACATAAAGCTGTTGTGCTATTCCTGGGATGAAAGAAAGCTGATGGATGCTTGGTGTAGGAATAGGACCCAAAGCATGTTGACTCAGGGCTTCTAAACTAGAGATGCTTTGGTTACAATTGTGTAGTTCTGAAAGCATAAAACCAAAGACTACATGTTTAAAATGAAATTGTTTAGAGGTCACTAGTGGTCCTGTAATGCCTCACCTATGCTCTGTAAGTAAGCCCAGTGAACTAATTGGTTCACACAAAAAGAAAAAAGGGAAGAAGAGTACAAGAGAAAGAAATTGAAAATGAAAATTACATATGGAGATTCTCAAAGCATGCTGAATAGTAAAAGACTGACATGCTTTTTTAATTGCAAAACTTTATTTTTTAAAGAAACGACAACACTAAAGATTCAAAATGGAGGGAATCCCCTTCCACCTTCCCACCTAAAAAGTTTGTAAATATTGAGCTACAAAGCACTTTGTTCATTTAAGGTGATAGTTTTGGAATAGGTTAAAGGTGACTCTTTGCAGACAGCCAAAGTCCCATACTTAAGTCAGCTTCTCTCTCCACAGAATCCCTAGTTAATTCCCATGTTTAATTGGAAAGGGTAAAATGCACATGGGTCCCAGACTTTTCCATTTGATGTGAACTTGATTTTTCTTTTTTGTTGATTTTCTGAAAAGTTCTATGGCTGTCATTTTCTTTTGCCTTTTTCCCCCACAAGTGAATGTGTAAAATCTCTTTGTATACAGCATAATACTGGCAAGTGACCAGTGATATTTGAATTCATTGGTTCATATATGGTTGAGTTTTCAATGAGTTTACTCCATGAATCCTCAAAACCATTAATGAATGCAAAAGCATAAGGAGCCCAACTAACACATCTTCATCATATCACAACTCAATGCATGATGCTGGGAAAAGGGAAAGACCTAAATGTTATGTTGAGAAATTATGTATTCTTTTAAATAATACTTGAGTTAGCAAAGAAACTAGTTAGCTCTGAAAAAAGTAAAAGCTAAGTTTTTCTCACAGCACAACTGTATTAGGACAGCTTAGACTTGGAAATGCAGTTACCAACTCTAGTTTGCTGAGGAATAACATAAAATTGCATTTTTTGTTTTTACAAACAACACATAGTTTTCTGAGGAGGGGAGTATGAAACTTGAGAGGGTTGGGTGTTCTAGAAAGGCTGTTTAAAGCAGAAAGCATACTGCATAGGGAGTTAAGGGAAGTTACTGAGACTTGGTTTGCTCACCTTCAAAATTACTTGTTTGCTTTTATATGAATCACATATACTTATGGGATAAATGATAGTAAACAGTGCTTGAATTGTTTAAATATATTTTATAATTGAAGTTGGTTCGTCATCACAATTTAAAAGTCTTCAGAAATATGATTCTCATGTCAAAGAATCTCTAAATATCTTCAGTGAAAATATTAAGATACATATAGCTTCATAGTTCATGCTTAGTTTTAGATAATGGCATTTTCAATTAACCTTTTTCTTTTTGAGAAAATGTCTTATGCCTTGTGTTGGCCTTGAGCTGAGTATGTAGTCAAAGATGGTCTTAAATTCTTGATACTCCTTCCTTCACCTCCTGAGTGCTAGCATTATAGGTGTGAGCCAACATGCTTGGCCATTTAAACATAATTTTTTTTAGTTATATGTCTATTAATTGATGGGTGAAGAATAGTTTATAAAATTAGAAACAGTGGTAAGATTGATTCTGATACTTTAAGTCTTTACAGTTAACATCTAGCAGTAATGTCCGTAGAGTTTCTTGTAATTTTTAATGTATCTTCTTGTCTGAGGCCACAGTGAGTAAGAGTCCCGAAAGAGGATTTGAGTTTCATTCAATTTGATGGTGTAATAGTGAGTAATATAACCATAGCGTGAAGTATTATGAGCTGTTACCGATGATTTTATAGAATAAATTGGAAGATGTTTGCAATCAAATAAATACAAATTTGTAAAAATATGTAGGTAACTGATTAAAAAAAGAATCCTCATTTTTGGGTTTTCTTTTTTTTTTGAGACACAGTTTCTCTGTGTAGGCCTGGCTGTCCTGGAACTCACAGAGATCCTCCTGCCTCTGCCTCCTGAGTGCTGGGATTAAAATCATGGACCACCACTACTCAGCCTAAAAAAATTCTTTAATTTATCATCACATTAACTTGAATTAAAATCAAAGTTCTGTTGACTAATAATAGTTGTATGATTTTGGGAAAGCTCTTACCCATGTGACATCTTAGTTGTCTCATCTCTACAAGGAAGATTGTGGTAGTACCTACCTTGTGTGTGTGTGTGTGTGTGTGTGTGTGTGTGTGTGTGTGTAGTTCAGAATATATATATTGTTCAGAAAATTTCATGTACATGGTAAGTGCTCCCATATGTATGGTCTATCATTCTTGCACTATACTGCATAAATTGATGTCATGACTTAAAATTAACATGAGTTAGTATTTTTCCACTTTACTTTAACATCTTTATTGTATTTTAAAAATCATGTTGATTGTAATGAACTGTGGTATTTTTCATTGAACATTTACTGTGTTCATCAAATTAAACTTCTGTTTAATTGTTGTAAAGAAATGACACCAGAGTCTGAATTACTCAGAACTAGAACAAAAATCAGAATGTTGTACTGTATATAGGAAAATGCTCAAATAACAAAAGCGTGTTTTCATCCCAGAAGTTCATTTTAAATCTGAGTGAAATCTTATTCTCCACAGATGGTTGGTAAGGGGTTTTTCCTAGTGCAGACAAAGGAAGTATTAATGAAAACTGAAGATGCTCAAAGGGTTTTCCGAGAAAAGGCATCTGACTATTATCTTCTCCTGAACAAAGGTATTTTCTGGATGACTGGGGTTCTTTTGTGGTTATTTCTTGATTGACTCTCTTAACATTTCTCTTCTTCTACCTTGCCTTCTCTTCCTCTTTTGTCTTTTTTTCTTTTCCAATACCCAAGAAGCCCTGTATAACTCACTTTTTTCCTGTTTGTGTTCTTAGTACACATTTCTGTATTATTTTAGTTTTCATTTCATTACTATGTTACCTCTGTACTGTTGCAAAGCACATGATAAATATGTGATTTGGCTATACTGAAAAAGAAGTAAGAAATATATTCTGTTTTCATATAATTAACTTCTCATGAAAAATTATAATTTTCCCTAGTAAGTGAATACCACCAGTAAGTTTCAGATACTGAAGAAATATGCATAAGAGAGGAGCTAGAATCTGTGTGCACTGTTGAATGGCTGCTGCTTGCCTGTATTTTCCTATGGGCACACTGACTCTAGAGGCCAAAGTGCTATCTATATGTTGGGAATAGGGACATTGTTTGCTCAAGGCTCTAAACTGGTATGACTAGCAATATGGAATGCTAATTAGGTTTACCTATAGACAGGGCACATCTGTATGTGTGCTCTTTATGTATAAATAAATTGTAATGAACTCTAAAATTGTGCATGAAAAAAGCATTGGAGGACTGTTAGGATAATTTTAATCAGTAATGTTTTGTGTAATTGGGCTATTAAGTATTAGCACAATATTTCATATCCTTTTTTTAGTTATTGTAGTAGTAGTAAGGACTTAATCCAGTGCTTGAGTTTACCTCAGAATATATTTTGACATAGGAATATTCAAATGAAATCTTGAAAATTAACCTTGAAACTCTCATCATCTTTCAGGAATGGAATTGAGCAATTAGTCTAGTGGATATCCTGAAGTGTCATGGTTAGTGTTGAGGTCAGTAATGTGAATCAAGAGTTTATGTATTTTATAATACTAGTAAGGACGTCTTAGAGAATTGCTTCAACCAATCTGTCTTTAAATAATACAATGTGGAATTCACATGGAAGTAGTAAAATGTTTTGTTGCTGGAAAAAGTAGAACTAAACCCGGTGGGCAGATGTTATGGGAATTTCAGGAAATAAATGCCATACAAACAAGTCTTAAAAAACAGAGATGCTGGGGTTGGACAGATGGCTCAGTGGTTAAGAGTATTGACTGCTGTTCCACAGGACCCAGGTTCGATTCCCAGCACCGAGATGGCAGCTCACAACTGTCTGTAATTCCAGTTCCAGGGGATCTGATACCTTCATACCAATACACATAAAATTAAAATTAATTAATTAAAAACAAAAATAGAAGCCGGGCGTTGGTGGCACACACCTTTAATCCCAGCACTCGGGAGGCAGAGGCAGGCAGATCTCTGAGTTCGAGGCCGGGCTGGTCCGACAGCCTCCAAAACAATACAGAGAAACCCTGTCTTGTAGAAACCAAAAAACAAACAAACAAACAAAAATAGAGATGCCTACAGAAAGTACTCAAAGACTGAAGCGGTCATGTCAAGTCAAAAGAATCAGCTTGAAGGAGTTTGCATTGGCAAAATTTGGGGACAGTTTGGATCAAAAAGAATAATGGGGGTTGGGGTAAGAGTGGCAAGAATGCTTGCCTAGTATGTTTGAGGATCTGGATTCCATTTCTAGCACCAAAATAAATAAATAAATCCCACAAAGAATAATGTAGGCAATTTAACAACTGTTAAGCATCTGTGAAAAAACGAGAGGCCTGAGCAAGGTAGTGCACACCTGTAATCCCTGTACTTGGGAAGTAGAGGCAAAAGGGGTTCAGGAGTTCAAGACCGACCATCCTAAGCTACATAATGAGTTCAGAACCAGTTTGGGCTGCTTGAGACTGTTTCACAAAAGAGGGAAGGGGCAGTGGTGGTGCACGCCTTTAATCCCAGCACTTAGGAGACAGAGACAGGTGGATCTGTGAGTTTGAGACCAGCCTGGTCTACAGATCGAGTTCCAGGACAGCCAAGACTACATAGTGAAACCTTGTTTCAAGAAACAAACAAAAAACGCCAAAGAGGGGAGGTGAGCATTATGGTTACAGGCTGCTGTCTTGCCTTCTGAGTCCTCTCTTTCCTGTCTTTGTTCTTTTCTGTTTTAAATGTGGAAAAGGGAAAAATTTCAGTCTGTGTGATGACTGAACCAAGATAGGAAAGAAAGTTAGATGACACCACAAAGAAACCATGAACCAGGTACAAAATATAAGACATTTTATAAGATAACTAGCTAGGTTTCCTCAGATGAGGGAACTCTTTTAGATTAAAATAATCTAAAGAGCTGTAATAATTAGTACAATGAGATAACCTTGATTTGATATGGGATTGATATGAAGTGGGCTATAAAGGAGGTTTTGAAACTAGAAGTGTTATTTTCTTAAGTATGGAAATAGTATTGTAGTTAGGTAGGATATGCTTGCTAAGTATCATGTTGTCAGCAAAACACAAATAAAGCATGTGTGTGCACACGATGTATATAGCATGTTGAGGCCACCAAGATGACTCAGTGAGTAAAAGCACTTGCAACCAAGCTTGATGACCTTGCATTCAGCACCCGGGTCCCACATGGAAGAAGGAGAGAACTTACTCCCACAAGTTCTCCTCTGACTTCCGTAAGTGTATCATGGCATGAGTGCCACACACATCTACAAAACTAACTAAATATACAAACAAATAATTGTTTTAAGAAAAACCTATGTGGCTGAATTTTGGCTCTTGGTGACTATAGTTAAAGGTAAGATGGATATTTATGCTGTTCTTTCAGTGTTTCTATACTATTTTTTTAATAAAAAGTGGAGGGGTTGGAGCAATGGCTCAGCAGGTAAGAGCACTCACTGGCTGCTCCTCCAGAGGACCCAGGCTCTAGTCTCAGTGGTGGCTGATGACTGGCTTTAATTCCAGCTCCTGTGGATCTGATGCCTCCTTCTGGACTCCAAAGGCACTGCATACACATGGCCCACATACATACACGCAGGTAAAACATACACATAAAGTTATTGAAAGTAAAATAAAAATTTTAAACATTTTTTCTATCTTACTCTTTTTGGTTTTTTGAGACAGAGTTTCTCTGTGTATCAGCTCTGGCTGTCCTGGAACTGGATCTGTGGACCAGGCTGGTCTTGAACTCACTGAGATCCACCTGCCTCTGCCTCCCGAGTATTGGGATTAAAGGCGTGGTCACCACTACCTGACTGTCTATCTTATTCATAACCTCACCCCAAATGAAGAAATAATTCAGTCTTCTGAATATTGAATATATTAGGTCACGTGGAGTAGTAAGCACACTTGGTGCTAGTATTCCAACGGTGGGTGGACCCTCTTCAGGTGCCTAATAGTCGTTCTCAGGCAGATGGTTGACTTGAGTAAGGATGGTCTATGCATTATAGAATGTTTAACAGCATTTATGGCTCCTATATCTAGAGATACACATTTCTTCAATTGTAGCAACAACCAAAAATGTTTTTAGACGTTGCCTGATGTCCTTTAAGGGGGCAGAATAGTTCTCAGTTGAAAACCATTTTTTAACAGGTAGGCTTACTCTTGAAAATTCACTTTTAGTGTAATTCATAGCTGAATCTAAACCAGTCTTTGATCACAGTTATCTACTTTTAGTTAATAAACATTACTATTTGACTACTGATAAGATAATCTGTTGTTTTCCTTTCTAGGATTTTCAAACCTGACTAATCCTCAAAACTATCTAGGATGTTTTTAAAGACATAAGTTTCCAACTACTGACTCAGAAGTCTTTTTATATGTCCTTGGAGTCAACATTTAGATAGTTTCTCAGATGGTCCTGGACATGAACTGGACTTGTTTTCCTTTATTTTAGAGGCTCATTTTCTTCATGAAATGAGATGTGAGACTAGTGGAGGGCAGGCAGACAAAATGGTGCTTTGTAGGCCAGTCCAGGTTTGGTGGCTTAGTCTGAACGTTCCTGCTTTTTAAAATCAATTTGTAGAATAATTTTAAATTTACAGAAAATTTGCAAAGACAGTACCAAGAGTTTCTGTATACCTTTTACCTGCTTCTTCAAATGTTAACATAGTCAAGGCACATTTGTCAAAACCAAGAATTTTAAATTGGTAAAATGTTGACTCATTTCACCAGATGTTTACTAGCAAGTTTCGGTTCCAGAATTCAGTTCTAGATCTCACATTGGCTTTAGTTGCTGTGTTTCCTGAATCGCCCCAGCTCTGTGACAGTTTTCAGCCTTCTTTTGTTTTTCATAATCTGAAAATTTGAAACACCTCCAGTTAGTTTGAAGAATATTGTTCAGGTTAGAAAGGGTTGTAGGTGCTGGAGAAGAGGTGAAGTACCCCCTCTCTTCACATCACAGCCTAGCTCAGCATGAGATGGCGTCTGCTATACTTAGTTATCCTGCATTGCAGGGGGCACATTTGTGCTACAGGATGAATGTAGAAGTCAAAGAATAACTTGTGGCAGCTGACTGTCGTCTTCTACCATGTGGGTCCCAGGGAGGCTTTTACTCAGTTTCCCGTCAGTCTAGAAATTTATGTTTTGTTTGGTACTTCTTGAATTTTTCAGCTTTATTGATGCATACTTGCCAGACATTACATGTTAAAGTTTATAATCTAGTAACCTATCCATATATTATAAATGATTACCACAAACAGTTACCGCATATAATTATCTTCAAATTTTAAAACAAATCTATTACTATAGAGGTTAGAGTACAACTTTGTTAAGTCATTTCTGTGTTTCTACCTTTACTGGGTTCTGGGGTTATTGAACTTAGGTTTCCAGATTTGTGCAGCAAATGTTACCCAGAGTCATTTTGATGGCCCATAATTGCCTTTTTGTGGTAAAAACATTTATATCTTAGCAGTTTCTCAGTATACAATATGGTATTACTAACTGTAGTCATCATGCTATATATTAAATCCTAAGAATTTGCTTATCTGTCTCTCTCTCTGTTTCTCTCTGTCTCTGTCTCTGTCTCTGTCTCTCTCTCTCTCTCTCTCTCTCTCTC